GACTTTTTGTCATGTCTGCATTACCTCCTAATCATACATCGCCGCTTGTAATTTCAAAAAAGATTGAATTTCCTTAGCTCACAAATAAATTGGCAAAAATATGCAGGGGCAAAAGTCATCTTAATGTCAAGATATAACTAATATTTATTGGTGCACGGATAGAATATTCGTGATAATTTAAACCCGCGTCTGACCTCGATCGGCGGTTACATCATGCATCGTAAGACATATGAAATTCTTTACAGGAAATTTGACATAATTATATATATTATCGAAAAGATATTAAATCTTGTCCAATTTTCTGGAATTTTAAAGATTGGAAAAATTTGGAAAATTTTAGTAAAAAATTAGTGAATATTTGATAGTTAAACACAATCTCCTTTGTAAAATACTTGATTTTGTGAATATTAATATTTGCATGTTTAATATTTATTACTTAATAAGTTAATTAAAAAACCCTGCAAATTATACGAAAAAACTAGTGACTAGTGGTTTAAAAAAATTATGCAATCTACAATATATGTACTTGCAAACGACATTTTTTTTTTAAGCAACTATGTTTTCTTTATATCAATTGATTTACTCGTTATTCTATGAATAAAGGTATTAATGTTCAGCTATCAAAAAATAAATAATTTAGCAAATAAAAATACTTTTCAATCCGATTAGATCCAAAATAGCGATTTTTAATTTTGCTTAAGGAAACTTTTTTCAGCATCTCATAATCTACAAAATATGACAGCAAATTTAAAGTCACTTTTTTCATATAATTTATGCGAGGTTTTCTTTTGCAAATAATAAAAGATAAAATTTGTAAATTTGCAATTTAATTTACTAATAATAAGTAATGAAAAAAACTCAATTAATGCATGTATATTTAATTGTGGAGAAAAATATTTATTAAAAACAGAAAGATTGTATAATCATACTAAATTATGGAAACATTGAAGTTAATAGAATAAAATAAGTTAGTAGATAAAAATATAATTATATAATAAATATATAAGATTATATGTATATAATTATATAACACATAGTATTAGATAATTATATCACTGTGTAAAATTATATAATGTAAAAATCTGAAAATAACTCGAAATACTTTAAGTTATCATGCGTGCACGTGTATGAAATATATTTCTTAACTTAATATTTTTATATTTATTTATGTCATATTTTTATATACTATGTATTTTATTTATTACTCCTTTATTATAATATTATTATTACAGTTATATTAATTACTATATAGAAACAAATTTTTCTAGTAATATTTAATTACTTTTTCATAACTTTAAATTTGTTTTTAATAGCTTCTTTTACGTAAAAATAATTTGCAAGTGTATCATCTCTCTTATGCGGTTACTTTCCTTCGAGTGAAAGGCAGCTATTATATTATTGCATATTAATCTTTTACACTCATATTTTGACCTTATTACTGTACAAACTAAACTTCCGAACTAAATTCACGTAAGTTTACTCCCTGCAAACTTGTCACAGAAATGTCAAACAACATATCCGTTTATCGATACAACTCCCCGTTTACATGCCGCATACGAGTTCTCTATAAATATATGCGTTCCGTCATTGTAAGAGAAAGTAATGTTGCAGCAATAGAAGGGGAGAGAGAGAGAGAGAGAGAGAGAGAGAGAGAGAGAGAGACAGAGAGAGAGAGAGAGAGGGGGGGAGGGAGGGAGAGAGAGATCGTGGAATAGTTTTTACGTGCGCTATCTCATCTTCAATTCCAAAATCGTTTCTACGATGTTCGCGAGGCCATGGTTGCGTTATACATCAAGTCTTAGAGAAGATGAAGCGTGTACAACCAGTTGTAAATTATATCCTAAGAATCTTATCAACCAAGGATGTAACAATTTTGTCCGACAATAAAGACTTTAAACAATTACTTTTCAGAATTTGTAAGAAAACAAATATTAAACGTTTCGTGTAAAATTACTAAGAGCTTGAATAAAGTACATTTTTAACAAAAATGACTCTTTTAACAATTAATTGTTATTATAATATTGTATCATATTATTCGATAATTCTTTTTTTTTTATCGTCACGATTATACGTTTATATTGAAAAAATTGCTACAAATTATCATGCATAACATTTTTATCTTCAGAATTATATTCTTTCAGCTCATTCGCGTGATTACGTCAGTTCGACGAAAAACATGACAATAGGATATCAGCGAGAAGTGATGATAACGAGTCCTACGCGCAGACATTAACAAGTCTCGTTATTGGCAGTTACGAGACGAGTAGCAGTCACGTTACTGGCATCAGCAGGTGGGTAAAACCACGTTTACGATTCTCGCGATGGCATATCACTCTTATGCAAATGACTAAGTTTCTCGATACATTGTCAGCGGAGAATGTCGGATGAATTAATGATCTCATTGTATCTTATTCTAATTAACTGCATAATGTGCATGTTCCTGGTACACAGCCGACGCAGTCTTTGCCGGTACTTTGCCGATATTTTCATAATTAATTATGGAGGCGAAGAGGTGTCTCACGTGTTCCGTTCGCGGAACCGGATCTAAGCTATACACTTCGGCCAAAAGAAACGACAATACTAATCATTACTATTTTTGTCTGCTCTTTCATAAATGCAACCACGTGCTTGATTACGTTCATTCTAATTGAAATGCTATTTAATATTTTTGAATTTTTTTAAAATTTGAAATTGAATTGAGTGATTGATTAATTTGTTCCTTTTAGTAAATTTACTTCAATGCATTTCAATAGATATTTAAAAAAAAAATGAAATATTGAAATATTAACAAATGTATAATTGAATTATAGTAGGGTTAGGAAAAAAAGTAATATTTTTAATTCAAAATTATATATTATTATACAATGCTAAAATATATTACTGTTATATTATTATAATTAGAGTAAAGTTTCAGCTTTAAAAGAACCTATTTTTTTATTGCGATACGCTCGTGCGCGTAATGATTTTTAATAAAATTATGAGCAATCAAAAGTCAAAATACTCCTTTCATTTAACCTTTCGTTTACAACAATAATTTAGTAACAAAAAATCTTAGGAATGTTTTATTAAAATAATAATTTTTTGAGGAAAATTTCAAACTTTCATGTATTACAGAATCGAAAATTTTTGCAAAAACAGTGATCTTTCAAAAGTAGAGATATAAGCATTAAAACTCTTTTTTAAAGTTTAAATTTTGTTTATTTTTAACGAATATATTTTATACATAATTTTGAGCTAAAAATACTTTCTTTCCAACCAATTATTTTACTAAATTTTTTTACTATTTTGTTTCTCTCTTTTTACAAATCTGTTAAAAAGCGGTCGAGCAACATAAATGAACGTAACTGCTCGCGCATCTGCTTAGATTCTCCAATAGATATTTCTTAACAACTATAATACATGTAAAGCACACGTCCCATTCGAGTACGATCACGTCACAAATTGTACAATCCGCTAATCCTTTTCTTCCTAGATCTCGCAAAGGATCGTCATACATCATGTGATCATATCCGTGGTCGTATGCGACGACAAAATACAGCAATCATCCCGTTATCTAACGGAGTACGGGAAATTTTACACTTTAGGATATGACGCGATGCGATAACGTTGCGTCACTCATGGAATTAATATCCGATATATTATGTAGAAAACGCCAGAACTCTTGGGCGTGTGCACATTGCATGTGTAACATGTTCTGCTAAATTAATCAAAAAGCACTCACGTGCACGTGCGAATACACAAATCGGCACTATGGTGTTTCATAATAATGAGTAAATAACGAGTTTAACTTTAATTAAGTTACGTGATGAGAAACTGAGATTCTTGGCAAAATTTTGTTGAAATTACGTGACAAGCTCGAGCCCTGCATAAGCCACGAGTAATAAACGAGTAAAAAAATGATGTGTTTTTATATACAATACATAATTATTTAAATGCGAGTTTAAATAATAATATACGTAAAATTGATTGCTATTTAATAAAACTTCATAAATTATAAAATGCATGGGTACACTGAGAAAAAAATATCCTAAATTTCAATAAATTTTTTATTCATTTGAATAGTGCCAACTATATATTTATTAAACATAAAAATATATTTATTTGGCACGAAGAACAATACTTTGTTTTTTTTTCAACAATCACTTCTTTTTATTAAGTAAATACTTATTTATTGTAAGTAAATGTTTAGTTGGCAATATTCAATTAAATATTTATTAAAATTTAGGTCATTTTTTTCAGTATACATAATTATTTAAGCAGAAAGTCATAGTTCATTTTTTTAAATATTGTTACATCGTTAAAATCAACAGTGTAGCACGTCTACATTCTAACAAGGTTTTTGAAACATTGTATTTCAATCTGTTGCAACATTGTAGCAACATTGCTGCAAATTTCCATACGCGATCACTATTTTCCGCGGCGTCGCGCGTCGTCGGAGCGTTAACCCAAAGCAAAACGAGATGGCCTCGTCACAGTATTTCGCCGAGAAAAGAAGAAAAAAACACAGTGCCACGAGTTCCGTGTCCTTGAGGTGGATCGCAAGGCTCGGAGTCGATTATTACCATGATTTTCAGAATGCGCTCTGTGCATTCGCAATTCGCTTGCAAAATCGCTGTTGCGCCAATACTTAAAGCGCATGCACAACAATAAGATTGTTAAAGGTCTTTGCGCGCCCGCGGTCAATCATTCGATTACTAAAATAAGATGTTTCCAGTCTAGTTGACGTAAAACCTGCGTGAAAAAAAAAAAACAATTTTTCACCCTTCTCTATCCCTTACTGCCCCGGAAAATACTTGAAAGACGATATTATCTCGAGACAATACAGGCAAATTTCGGGACATCTGAAATATTTGTTATTTTTAAACTTTCTTTTGCGCTTAACGTGCGGAGATCCCTATGACAATATCATTCAAATTTAAAAAATCGAAACGTTTCGAGAACTCTCTTCAATCGATTATCGATCTGCTAATATCGACAATACATGCTGGAAGAAGTATGGTTATGTTTTCGTAATCCAAACAAACCTTCGAAAGTTATTTCCATCGAAAAGTAGTAGACATAAAAATCGAGATGAATCTCGTTAGGAGGCAGTGTTTAAGAATTTTACATAGCAACATTAACAGTCAAAATATATCATACACTCTCGGTAGAGCTTCTAGTTTTAAAAGTGCTTTTTCCTTGGAGAACTTGTATCCGGGAAGCAAACTGAAATTGCACACTCCAACTTTCGTTAGTGTATATTGATCTACAAATACTTATATTATAAATAATATTGATTCTGTTTGTGTATTGTTTCTATAAATGTGTTATACTTGAGTTCTAAAATGTGCTATCTTTCTAACATAACCTCATTGTCGACTGAATGGTAATTATTACTTGTTCATTTCTCAGGTGCCAGATCCTAAAGCAAAATTCAGTGGTTATATACCCTTGGACAAAGTAAAAATAACGTACAGCAGTAGCAGTGGACCGGGAGGGCAAAATGTTAACTGTGTAAATACCAAAGTAGATTTAAGGTTCCAGGTGGACAGTGCTATCTGGTTATCGGAAGAAATTCGAACAAAGTTAGTGGAACAAGTGAGTAGAATTGTACATACAAATAAAGTTTACATTAGTTAATTTGAATTAGTATAGCATTAGTTAATTTTAATTATAAATAGAGTAACTGATCAAATTCCTGGCTAACAATTTGATAATATCAAGTTTGTAATAAATTCACAAACATGAAATTATTATTTTTAGTATAAAAATAAGATAAACAAAGATGGTTACTTAATAATCAAGTCGGATTTAACAAGATCTCAGCACTTAAATTTAGCAGACGCTCTTGAAAAGTTAAGGGCAATGATAAGAGCCACTTTGGTAATACCAGCGCAACCATCGCCTGAATCAGAAGAAAAAAAGAGGAAAAATCTATTAAGAGCTGCTAGGGAGAGGCTACACGAGAAAAGACTTCATTCTCAAATCAAGAAAAATAGACAAGTTCCTGCAGCTGAGTTTTAAATAATTTAATTCAATTATTTCAATTATTGTATAGCTTTATATAGGAATGAACTGTATAAACAAAATAAAGAAAAAGAATTTATATTTATGTATTGTGTATTATGAATTTTTAAGTAATCTATATAATATGTATACAACAAAATTTATATGTATTATATGTATATAACAAAATTTACATATTAAATTAGTATTATTATTAGAAAATATTTAAATTGGAAACAAACTCTAATTTGTGTTAAAAATATTATATGTAATATATAACATGATTATGTATTTTTTATTAAATTAGAGTTTAATATGTTCTACACACATATATAAAATTCAGTGATATAAAATGTGAATATAAGTATATATTTTGATAAAAAATCGATTGCTCACAATCTTGCCTATGAGTCCACAGTCCAGCTGATGGTTTCTATGGTAACGTTAATACCGCGAGTAGAAAACATGAACTCGAAACCTACCTTTGTATAACTACAGTGAATTTAATTTTTCGTGGTGAAAATGTCCTACCGTGATTTACGTAGTGCGTATATAAAATGATTATTAATATGATACAAATGAAACTATATTGCGATTTACTTTCTTTTTACCTGCCTATACATAGATTTCACGGAGATGATGAGAGTACTGGGTTATCCGAGGTTAATTTCCCTCGCGAACTTTCGTATGCCGAATTTTCCTCTGGTTGCCGAGATTCTAGTTTGGCTGGTGAAACGATTCGATCCAGATGTTGATATATTTAGCGATCGCGACACTGAGGAAGAACGTGTAACATTGATACGTAGTATCGCTGAATTTATGGTAAATGAACTTAAACATTACATCTACTCATAACATTAGTCTAATGATTCTTTTTTTAAAAGAGTATCTAAATCTATCTTATTTATTCTACAAACTCATGAAAGTGTTTGATAGGATTATATTAATTATTATTTATTTATTTCAAAATATATCACTCTCAATAAACTAAATGTTAGCATTATATTAGCAATTTGCTTAACATTATATTAAGTATTGCAATATTCTATTCAAGTAGAATATTGCAATAGATTAATATCAACTGCATCTGCATTAAGCTCATATTAGCAAAATTTGTTAATATAATCTAATATAATATATTGATAATAGAAGCAGAATGTATTTCGTAATCATTTAAATGATATATTTTACTTAAATGATGGTAATGGTTAAATGATAAGATTCTACTTGGTTTTTACTAGCAATTTGTTATTATATCTTGTTAAAAAAATTCTATAATTTCTTCGTTTATAAAATTTGTAGTAAAATATTTTTTTGATAAATTTAACTTATATATATATATA